TAAATCACGCTAAAAACCGCCACAAATTTCAAGATGCGCACACCTTTAGGATTGTTTTTTTTTATTATACCGGGTGTTTGAGCTGTTGGCCCCACCTCGTCGAGTGCATCTCTTGTGTCGTGTGGGGTGTAGAACCGTACATCACGTTCAAGTGCAATTACTTGCAATTGCATGGAGGGGTCAGTGTTTGGGTCAGTCGGGGCCGCCACCAAGGTCACCACTGACCAAGATATGAGTCCACTTTATTACTCACTTTGACGCCAGCAGCTTCGCACCTCAACCACGTGGTCTATCTATCTATACCTGTGCTAGCAACCCTTCTCAAGAATGCGTCCATATTTAATAATTTGTAATTTTTACCCCGTCTACGCGACCTTGACTTAATTTCCCTTCGACCGGTTGCTAAGGGAAGAAGTGAGGAAAAAGACGGATTTGACGAGACAAGGGGGCGATTGGCGGGGGGTTGATTATCAATGGCGGTTTTTATGGAGATGTTATGCAATAGCTGAGATTTTGTGGGTCAGGGGGCTAAATTTAGATCGGGTTTGGCGATAAATCTAATCGAAAATTTGTGATAAGAGTAGATCGAAAAGACGTCAGAAAAGGCGGAACTATTGATACTATTTATTTATAAACAAATATATAATAATGCCATTTTTCTTTCAAATATTTTAATCATTATTATTTTTGGAACCTTAAACACACCAAAATGGGAAATGTTGTATTTATTTTTCAAAATTAACACTTGCTACAGTCAACGGTAAAGTTAATGACGTTTCAGAGATGTACAAAACCCCCAGAATTGGACATTAATTTTTTTAGCGACTGTACATACACATCGTCATTTAAGAGATATTAATAATTTTGAAACACCTGAAAATAAAGTTGTCTGAAAGTAAAATTAAATGTAATTATGGTGGAGAATAATAAAAAAATAAAAAACAAAAATTAGTTTGCGTTAAAACATTTTCAAAATAAAACCTTTGAAGTTAATTTTATTGCAGGTGATGGTATTACGTTTATTCTACAGGGTGTCCCTGTAACAACAATGAAAAATGAAAAAAAAAATTATAAGTCACTGGGTGGTTTTGATTTTTTTAGTAAAAAAATTTTTGTTGGTGTTGGGACACCTGTATGTCGTATTGCTCAAAAATCGAAGACTCATTCTGTATTTTGACATT